CCAACTTATCTAAATATTTAACCCCAAGCTTTGCTGCTAAATCGAATATTCCATAGCCAGAAAAAATATTTATCAATGCGCTACACATATCCTTCGAGGTATGCCATTGTCCTAAAAATAATATTAGGCCACACAAAGTTGATTTTTCGTTTTGCATTACATGGATTTCAAAATTCCGGTCGGCAGTCGGATTTTTTTTTTTTTTTTTTTTTTTGCTTTTTTTTTTTTTTTAATCTACAGTAAATTAATTGACTTGTATTCATATCTAAGGCTGTACAAAGTTGTTTTTTCACTCTGTATAACATGGAATCAAAAAATTGGGTTGGCAATCGAATTTTTTTCTATCAGTTCTATTGGATAATTTCTGGAAAATAAGGTCTCTATCGAGTGATACCAGATTAATTGATGGAAAAAAATTAAATGGCAAAAATGGAAGAATTGGCACAATTGGAACTTCGAAAAAAAAAAAAAAATTGAAAAATTGAAAAAAATTGGTTGGCGGGTAATGCAAAACGAAAAATCAACTTTGCGTGGCCTTATATTTTCTCTTTTTTCTTTGTAAGTTATTAATTTAGGAAATATACCTCCATCCGATGCTATACATAAATATTCACTATTGTCTATACCTATATCAGTAAAATATATATCACATGCATTTTGAATATTTTCATAGCAGTTTGGGTTGTCTCCAGGCTGGAGAATTACGACATTAGGTGGTGGAACTTTACATCCTATTTCTATATTATCAGCGATTTCATATAAAAAATCATTTTTATCCTAATTATTGACCCTATTTTCTAAAAAACTATGCAATGTTTGTTCAAAATTGGCAAGCATATTATCAGTGAAGGTTGATGCACCAAAGATATTTTTATTGGTATGCTTATTTTCTTCAGCTATCGAAGTAAAAGGTTTTAAATCAATCGGCAAAGTAAATTGAAAAACCATTCGAAGGATTGCATGAATAGAATTACGTGATACATTGTAAATATTTTCATATGCAAATGTTTTTTTCAAGAAGATCAATATTGTCCAATACTGCTATATTCCATATATTATAACTCTTTAATAATCTTCTTTCTGGATTTATTTCTTTAGTACGAATTTTCTCCAGTTGCTGTTCATAACATTGAGTATGTGATACAATATTCGCTATGCATAAGATACTATATAAAGATGACAGTAACTTGGGTTTGCGGCACAAGGAACTCATCATATGTGTTAACCAAATATTGGTTCCAGGAAATGCAATATTTAATATAATCGAAATAAAAAATGTTGATATTTTAGTTACTTGAGACCTATCAAAATCCTTCTCCGTCAATCCTCTTTGCTTTCTTTTTTGTGTTACAATTTTATGTTTTTTTTCTAATAAAGTATAAAATAATCCTTTAAAAAATCCAGATAAACAACTAGGAAATGCGCTCTGGTAATCCTCTAAGGAATTTGGCTCTTCGAGCTTTTTTTTATTTTTTGCACTTTATTGTGTAATTTCCAAATCTCGTTTCCTAATGCCCACCAATTTTAGATGATGTTTCATTATCAAAATTATAACATTGATTTGTAATATTCATAATGCTAGTATGCCTTAATCTTAAGGCAGTTTTGAAATACAAAAGGCTTGGAGGCTTAATCGAATGGAATTCTGGTTTCTTTGATAGCATAGCATCTAAATCTGTCAAAAGATTTGTTTTAAGTTCATTTTCTGTTGATTCTGAAATACTTAAAATCCAATTCCCTATAAGTTTAAGTGATTCAGTAGTATCACTATTGTGCTTGTCTTCACACAAAAAGATAGACTTCTCGCCACGTTTACTTCTTTTAAACAAATGTCCACCTTCTGAATTAAAACACTCTGCACATATATAGCATGGTCGGTATTCACTAATAGAATTCTTTTCTAATATCTCTCTATTTGGTAAAACCGGACAAAGTTTTTAAACCAACACATGGCATTTGTATATTAAGATCAACCATATGTATTGAATGTTGAACACATGTTCCTCCACGGCTAAAAAAAACTTATATTTGTTACAAAATAAACACCGACGATGATAAACCCAACTTTTGTCAATAGATCATTGTTGTTTAGCATGTTGTTCGTGAAGCGATTTTTGATCAAATATAAAGTGTGCATAGCAAATGCCTAAGGTATTTAGTTTGTTCTCCTCCTTAGCTTTTAAAAACATTGCATCATCTATTTCCCATGTCCCAACTAGCTGAGTTAGAGGTCTTTGCCTTGTTGTATTTTTTGAACAACATGTAATAGAACCGTTGATCATATCCACTAGAACACAAGATGTCAAACTTTTTGAAGAAGTATTATCAATTAATTGTACACTTTCTTCTGTTGATTCGGGTAATTCTGACTCTAATACCGATACTGATGCTGTATCAATTTCACTTTCTGCTTCTATATCAATATCATTCCACGTGATTTCCTTATTTTCATCAGTATTAGCTATCATATGCGCTTTTTCATAACTTAGTTTATCCAAAATGAATGGGCATATTTCCATTTCACAATCACGATCATTTGTAGTACTCTCAGTACCAAATTTTTCAGATGCAAGACTTTCACTAATAAAGCTTGAATTATCGTTATCGTTATCATTGTCCAACAAATAATCATCCTCATTCGAATTGATACATTCATAATTACCATTAATAAAATTTAAAAACATTGTCCCATGTGAACTTGAACTAGTATTAGCGCTAGTTGTTTCTTCTTCCATTATTGTTATCATTATCGTTATAATATAGTAAATATTGACTTTTATTATATTTATATCAAAACGATTGTAGCCTGATAATCAATAAGAGGAAAACATAAACATTCTTTTTATCTTTTGGTGCAGAATAAGTCGGCCTATTGCTATCATTATTTTTCAAACTTGGTGTTAGAAAGTCTGTGAGAATTTGTGTAATGCTAACGCTAACATTAACGTTAACGTTAATTAAAAATTGCCTGCTGAATAATAATCCTTTTAAGAAAAAACAGTAAATTTAATAACGATCCCAACCTTTTCTGAATCTATCGCTATCGCTACCACTACATCATGACGATAATCGATAACAATAACGATAACGATAACGGTAATGGTAATCTCCCAACCTTTTCTGAATCTATCGCTATTGCTACATCATAATAACAATGATAATAATAGCTTATTGTTATCGTTATTGTTATTATTGATATATTTCTTCGAATATTTATTAGGTTTCTTTTTTTTTTTTTTTTTTAGCGTTAGCTAAGTAGTTTCCAATATCTCCACATGATATCGATATCGATATTAATATCAGAATGTCATAATGATAATAATAATTAAAATGTGTATTACCGCAATATTTTTATTTTACAAATTATTATTATTTTTCATTTTTTATTGGAATAACGATAATTAATGTCAACGTTAACGGCTGCTTTTCCAAAGTTTAATTAATAAATTACAATTCTCAACAATGACGAATATTCTTATATGAATAGTGATAGTTGTAATGTTGATTTCGATTTCCGGCATATTCCGACCTTCCGAAATATTCCGCCTGCGCAGCGGCCCATCACTAGTTATAAGGTTCAATAATA